ATATTGCGTTACAGGAAATTCGATGGAAAGCGTCTGGCGTAGTAAATCAGATGATTACGCCCTGTATTATAGCTGCCATGAAACGAGACATGAATTTGGCTGCGGAATTATGGTTAATAGGGGATCATAAGACCTCGTCTCCAGATTTACTGCAATGGGCGAATTGCTATAATCCGTATAAAAGTGGAGTTCTTCTACATCAGTATCATTTGCGCACATGCTCCGACGGATGACATAGATGAACAGAGCAAATGCATTTTTTACGATAGCCTAAAACATCATATCACCGCTGCACTGGCCATGACAATTGTGCTAGGAAATTTTAATTCAAAAATCGGAAAGGAACATATTTTTGCCCCACCGCCGGAAAATTCAGCCTCCATGAAGAAACATCCGACAACAGCATGAGCTTGATTGACTTTGTGGCTGCAAAAAATGGTAGTAAGCATCACCAGATTCAGGCATTTCGATATACACAAGGTCACCTGGATATCTCTTGATCAAGCAACGAGAAATCAAATTGATCCTTTTGTGATAGACGTAAGGCATTCATCCAGTTTTTTAGACTTCAGGTCGATACGAGAAGCGAATATCGATTCGGACTATTACGTTGCGGCGATCTAACACAAAACACGAAAACTCGACGTCGAAAAACTGCAAACTCAACAGGTAGCAGATGCCTACTCCGCTCAACTTACCCACCTGCTTAACGAAAGCACTTCTTGTCCCGATATGAATATAGAAGCACAATGGGAAAGAATTGCCCACTACCTACAAACCGCAGCAGAAGTAACACTTGGGTACCAAATACCACCATCAAGAAATCCGTATTACGAGCAGGAGTGTCGTAATGCTACTGAGGTTGGAAACGCAGCGTATAGGACAACCCTGGAGACAGTAGCAACACGTAACGCGATGGATGATTATCGAGAGAAAAAGAGGGAGGAGAAACCTATTTTCGGAAAAAAGAAGAAAGAACAAGAAAAACGTGAGAGTGAGCAAATCGAGATGTACAGAAGACAGAATGAAGTCCGGAAATTTTACCAACGAGTAAAATACCGAACCGAAGGTTTTGGTGCAGGCACATCCTCCTGTAGAGATGAAGAAGGAAACCTGGTGACAGATACAGATAACGTGTTGAATATCTGGAAGGAGCACTTGGAAAAGCTTCTGGTATCAAATAGTAGCGGTGAAGAATATGCCTCAGAACCAACAAGAGATTGAGGTATAGAGTGTATACCACTTAAATCTAAATCTGAACCGATTTAGATTTAGTTGGTAACTAGAGTAGAAATTAGTCGGCTGAAGAACAATAAAGCAGCAGGTGCCGATGGATTGCCAGCCGAACTATTCAAGACCGGTGATCAGATGCTGGTCAGGAGCATGCACCAGCTGATTAGTACAATATGGCTAGAGGAATGCATGTCCAATGATTGGAACCTCAGCATAATGTGTCCCGTGCACAAAAAAGGAGACAAGACGATATGTGTCAACTGTAGAGGAGTTAGTCTTCCTCCCATCGCATATCCAGCGTGCTGTGTGAACGACTGAAATTAATGGTCAATGACATTATTGGACCATACCAATGCGGTTTCAGGCTTGGGAAATCCACCATTGACCAGATCTTCTCTCTGAGCCAGATCCTGGAAAAGACCCATCGACTATAAAGCCACATTCGACTGCATTCGGTATTCCTGCAAAATTAATACGGTTATGCACTATAACTTTAACTGGCACAAGGTCAGCAGTTAAAGTCGGAAAGGATCTCTCGGAGCCTTTCAATACCGAACGAGGATTAAGACAAGGTGACAGTTTGTCGTGTGACATTTTTAACATCCTGCTGGAAAAGGTCAAATGTGTAGAGAAATGACACTCTGTACACCAAACAACAGATGTTACTCGCATGTGCCGACGACATCGATGTAATGGGTCGAACATTGCGAGCGGTAACAGGCAACTTTAAACAAATTGAGAAGGAATCTGCCAAAGTGGGACAGGCAGTAAATAGCGAAAAGACCAAGCTAATGGTATCAACACACAAGACGTCCAGTATACTCGGACCAACCGTGGAACTGCTTCGAGGTAGTAAACGAATTTATATACCTTGGTACCGCCATACAAAACTAATAACATCAGCTTTAAAATCCGGAGGAGAATAGTGTTGGCCAACAGATGTTACTATGGTCTGAGTAAGCAACTCAAAAGCAAGGCCACCTCTCCAGTCCAGCTCGTGCAGGTTTTGAAAGAAAAAATCTCCGGAAGATCTATAGGCCGATCTGGGTCGACGGTGAATATCGTCGAATGAATTCTCGGAAGATTGTATGCCTAATGAACTTATGTAGAAGCGACGAAGAGGCTTAGGCTGCCGGAAGTAGAGACAAGTAATAAACCTGCGTCATCTGTCTTAAAATACCGGATGAGTAAAGAGTAGACAATGTGGAAGACAATATTGCCAAGCTTACAACAAAAAAGTGCAGCTACCTGAGGCGCAAAGGCGAATCTAGCCATATGTTAAGAATGGCAATCCGCGTCGACCCCAATTCAAAGAAAAATATAAAGGGCTCTGAGTTCAGGAATACATTGACGATTTTAGAATTCTCGGACTGTACGGAAGAAGATATCCGAAAACATTCATAAGAAGCCATCACCTTGCCAAAAAGGCATCCGATCAATAACAAAATCCTGGATACATTTTTTTTCCAAAGAGAGGTCCTATAGCTCCAGATTCGTTGGCTGCAAGAAAGACATTCCGTAGTCGTAAGAGGATTGGGCGTTTCTGATTCCCCAGTTTATCCTGGCCATTGTTCGCCTTAGTGCCCTGCACATACCTGTTTATTTTTAGAGTGAGCTCGGCACACTCACTCACTTCTTCCGCCATGTTTTCAGACTCACACTCTTCCCAAGGCGGTTATGTCGGTCTTGCTTTCCCTTATCGACTAGGGTATTCCTATTAGAATTTCCGACTTTATGAAATATAGACTACGCTCGTTTTCTTTATACTATTTGCCCTCTGTGGATTGATTAGGGTTCGGCGAGGCATGTTCCTTGTAACAGGTGGCAAGAAACTTATTTTCTTCTTCGTAGGTTTAGCATATGACTGCTATTTATGTGACCTAATCCACTTCGCCGCTTCCAAACGATCTGAAAAGCCTTCCACAAGAAGGAAAGCGATGGCAGAATCAGACAAGTCTTTCAGTCTTGAAATCTTTCGCAAAGATCGAAGACACTGGAATGATGTGTCGCTGTAGAGAAAGACATTACCGTACCAAGTGGCGCCCAACATGATAATTATAGAATTTAATTTATTTTGAGTGTTTAAATTAAGGTAGGGTATAGTTCAAGACAATCGACTCTGACCGAGATTTCAGTTCTTATTTTTTGTGTTCTATACATTCCACGCATTCAAACACAAAAATATTTAAATATAGCAAATGCAATATCTAATCACTGCCGGATTGTAATATTTTCACGTAGAACAAAAATTATCACATTTCTGCAATGCAATAAATATTTTTCAGAATAGCCCTCTTAACCTTAGTTCGCAACGTACGTCGACACAATGAAGACGTGCCTTTTATTTGTTCTAGTAATAGCCGTGGCAGCAGCTGCAGTTCCACGGCCATCTGAGCTATTGAAATATTTCATAGATTCCGAACCGAAATTGTCGCTGAAACCCAAGTTAAATACGGTTGGTACAAACAATTCAGCGAATGTATTTTGATCTCAATGATTTTCTTTTCACATAGGCCGATCGCATTGCCGCCCATGGCTACGCAGTGGAATCCCATGATATTGTTACCGAAGATGGCTATATTATTACCGCGTTTCGCATGCCCTATTCTCATAAATTGCAAAACCAGAATGCCTACCGTCCCATTGTGTTGCTATTGCATGGCCTTTTTTGTAGTTCCGATTTTTGGATATTAAATGGACCCAATGATGCGCTGTCTTTCAATTTAGTGGATGCTGGTTATGAAGTTTGGCTCCTAAATTCACGTGGCAATACCTATGGTCGTAAACACATTTCCCGCTCTCCTCAACATCCCTATTTTTGGCGTTTTAGTTGGCATGAAATTGGTTATTATGATGTTGCGGCGCAAATCGATTATGCCTTGGCCACAAATGGTCAAGGACAAAGATCAGTGCATTTTGTGGCTCATTCTCAGGGCACATCGGCATTTTTTGTGCTCACATCCACACGTCCAGAATATAATGCCAAGATTAAATTGGCTCATACAATGGCACCCATTGCCTATGTCAGTAATATGTCGGATAAAATGTTGACGCGTATGGCTCCGGTGCTTGGGCATCAAAATATTGTTACTGCCTTGTTTAGTGATCAGGAATTTTTACCACACAATGATCTGTTTACTAAATTGGGTTATAATGCCTGCCAGCCGAATTCAAAGCTGCATGGACTGTGTAGTGCTGTGGCGTATATGTTTGAGGGATCGGAATCGAATGCCAACAGGGTAAGTTATGGAATTACATATTCAATGTTTACAATGGCGCCCAACTTGGCAACACTGACCTTAGCTAAGGTTGAAGTTTGCAAAATACAGCATTAGAAACATAGGTGTTGGTCAGACTGGTCTAAGCCTACCTTCATTCTCATCTTGTGTGTCTCAACCTCTGTATATCTGTATCTATAGAATGTCTATCTTCAAGGCTGAGTAGATTCATATGGTAACCTTATTGAAGCTGATGATCCCGGATTTTGATATTGATCAAGTCTTATGGAAGATATCTCTCTTCGTCACTAGCAATCTTAAAGGCGGGGCTTCAGTGATCTATACGGTGCAGCAGATGATCCAAGTTTTGGAATTTATCTCGTCTTTGACCTTTTTATAAATCTGCGTACCACGGCTTGCCTGTGCTCCCCCGGCTAGCTTTGCGTAAGATGATTGCTCCTTAGCTTTGCTTCGGATTCTATCTTCAAGATAGTCCATTACATTGTCCTCCTCTAAGGCGAGGCTGAGTAGATTCATATGGTAACCTTATTGAAGCTGATGATCCCGGATTTTGATGTTGATCAGGTCTTATGGAAGATATCTCTCTTCGTCACTAGCAGTCTTAAAGGCGAGGCTTCATTGATCTTTATGGTCTCCTCTTTGCAGCAGATGATACAAATTTTGGAATTGATCTCGTCTTTGACCTCTTTATAGATCTGCGTATCACGGCTTGCCTGTGCTCCACCGGCTAGCTTTGCGTAAGATGACTGCTCCTTACCATTGCTTCGGATTCCCACAATTTACACTGAAGATACAGAGGCTACACTCGTATTCTGACACACAGTCTTATTTGAATGGGGTTTGACGCGGGTTGTCTCGTACAGCCCAGATACTTCTGTTAGGAATCCCTGACTTCAAAACCGAAAGACTTGTCTAAGTCTCCCTTCCTTCGAATACTACGTAGCAAAGTTTGTCTGTATAGTTCTTCCTGCGACCTTCGTAATAGCTACCGGCTCTTTACCGCAAAGTCTTTCGTGCAGAATAACCGAATTCTTGTTAGGATTTGCAAACATTACAGAAGATTTCAAGGCCGGAAGACTCGATTAACCCCGCGTATACCTGGGTTATCATCCTAATAGGCTTCTTCCTAAGTAAAGTTGTTTGTAACCGAAGATACCTTGTTTTGTCAACTCGCTGCACCATCTTCTTGTAAAGACAGTAGCTTTTTGTATGTGAGCAATGTCCATCTGATAGCCCTCTGGAGTGCGGAAGGCTTGATTAACCCCGCGTATACCTGGGTTATCATCGGAATAGGCTTCTTCCCAAGCCAAGTTGTTTGTAACCGGAGATATCTTGTTTTGTCAACTCACTGCACCATCCTCTTGTAAAGACAATTGCTTTTTGTAGCTGAGCAATGTCCATCTGATAGCCCCCTGAAGTCCCAACTTGCTGGATCTAAAAAGGTTCCCTAGAAACTGATTTTGTAATTGGCATTGAACACTTATAGTCCTCGAATGCCGAATACTCCGTTGAGAAGTCCTTACAACTGTTTGTTATTTTATACAGGCCGGGAAATTCAGGTACAGGGTATTATGTCTTTGTGCATATGTTTGTAACAGGCAAAAATAATCGAGATAGACCCATGGTTCCTTTTGAGAATATACATAGAATCACTTTCTAAGTCGATTTATGCATGTCCGTCCGTCCGTCTGTCCGTCTGTCTGTCCATGTTAAATTGTAAACAAAGTACAGGTCGCATTTATGATCCGAATTGGATGAAATTTGGCATAGGTCACTTATTCGGCCCAAGGACGAACCCTATTGAAATTGGGAAAAATCGGTTCAGATTTAGATATAGCTCCCATATATATATTTAACCGATTTAATGTAAACGGTCCCTATATATCTTCCGATTTGCACGAAATTTGGTACAGCCTAATCATTTAGGTCTAGAATGATGTCTGCCAAGTTTCGTGAAAATCGGTCCAGATTTAGATATAGCTCCCATATATAGTTTCGTCCGATTTCATGTAAATGGTGCCCCAAAGTCCTTAGGGTACCGAACTGAGCCTAGATTGATGTCTGCCAAGTTTCGAGAAAATCGGTCCAGATTTAGATATAGCTCCCATATATAGTTTCGTCCGATTTCATGTAAATGGTGCCCCAAAGTCCCTATATATCCTTCGATTTGCACGAAATTTGGCATAACGTACTGAATTGAGCCTAGAATGATGTCTGCCAAGTTTCGTGAAAATCGGTCCAGATTTAGATATAGCTCCCATATATAGTTGCGTCCGATTTCATGTAAATGGTGCCCCAAAGTCCCTATATATATTTCGATTTGCACGAAATTTGGCATAACGTACTGAATTGAGCCTAGAATGACGTCTACCAAGTTTCGTGAAAATCGGTCTAGATTTAGATATAGCTCCCATATATAGTTTCGTCCGATTTCGTGTAAATTGTGCCCCAAAGTCCCTATATATCTTTCGATTTGCACGAAATTTGGCTTAACGTACTGAATTGAGCCTAGAATGATGTCTACCAAGTTTCGTGAAAATCGGTCAAAATTTAGATATAGCTTCCATATATAGTTTCGTCTGATTTTATGTAAATGGTGCACCAAAGTCCCCATATATCCTTCGATTTGCACGAAATTTGGCACAACGTACTGAAATGAGCCTAAAATGATGTCTGCCAAGTTTCGTAAAAATCGGTCCTGATTTAGATATAGCTCTCATATATAGTTTCTTCCGATTTTATGTAAATGGTGCACCAAAGTCCCTATGTATCCTTCGATTTGCACAAAATTTGGCATAACGTACTGAATTGAGCCTAGAGTGATGTCAGCCAAGTTTCGAGAAAATCGGTCCTGATTTAGATATAGCTCCCATATATAGTTTCGTCCGATTTTATGTAAATGGTGCACCAAAGTCCCTATATATCCTTCGATTTGCACGAAATTTGGCATAACGTACTGAATTGAGCCTAGAGTGATGTCTGCCAAGTTTCGAGAAAATCGGTCCAGATTTAGATATAGCTCCTTTTTATTATAGATTGATTTTAAGTAATTGACGCACCAAGGAACCAACAGGCTGATAGGAACAAAACTTTCTGAAATTGGTATAACCTAAGCTGTGACAAGTTTGTTTGAAATCGCTTAATATTTGGATAGAGCTTCCATATATATTTTCGCCCGATTTCAAGTAAATTGGACATCAAACTCCTCATGTTAGTCAGATTGACATCAAATTTTGCACAACGTACAAAATTGAGTATAGAATTACGTAGTTGCGTTTTCTAGAAGAACAGACATAGCCCAACAGATGACCTATTTATATTTGTTTGAAGTCGATTTACATACTTTTGTTCCATTGTAACAATCGAATGACATGTTTATGGATAGACCTAAGTCGATTCACATTTCGATAAATATCACATATTTTATTTCATCCAATTTCATGTTAATAGTCCTGTTTAATATACCCATAGTGGTGAAGGGTATCATATAGTCGGACCCGTCCGACTTTACTACTTTCCTTACTGATTTACAATGATTTTCTTATTAACCGACTCATTGACCTCATTATAAACCTCGTATACCGTAAGCACTATTATCGTCGATCATTCCGTAGTAGATCTTGTCTTAAAGACCGATTTCGGCTCCTAACTAGTGTTTACTGTCATCATCTTATTTCTCGAAGTCCGAATCTTTCGGTAAAGATTCCCCAAATGTACGGAAAATTCCGTGGCTGTACATTACATTAGAGCTAGCTTTGTCGATCTGTTTCGATGGATCTTCGAAGCTCTTCGGAGCATATGACGAGAAACTCATTTTATTTTTCGTAGACTCAGCATTTGTCTGCTAAGCCTGCGATATGAGAGAAATCCGGGGAAAGGCGTTTCGGGTTATACAGTTCATCCGGGCCAATATTCGTCTTTGGGCCCTGATATTTTCTTCATTTCCCTATTAGTATTTGTCTGCACTTACTGAAACCTAATCATCTTTGCCGCTTGCGAGGAAGTAGATGAATATATATTGTGCGTTACAAATTTTTCGGTTTTGGCCCCAAAAAGCTAATTTTGTTTTAATCATGAGCGATTCAAACCTATTGTTTGCCTCTTCACTAATCCGGCATTCCAAGACAGATGACGAACAGTTAGTTTTCTTCTTCGAGGTTTATGATGTGTGTGCTCTTCCGTACGCCTAATTCTCTTCGCAACTTCCGAAGAATTGCAGGGAATGTCAAAATTATCCTTATCCGTCTATTCTGCGTTTCCATTTTTCCGTTTCATTCTTGCCAATTTTCGCCTTTTAGCCCAATATACCGGCTTATTTTTAGTCGTGAGTTCGACAATGTCTTTGCTCACTTCTTCCACCAACGTTTCACTTACACTCATAGGCTTTCCCTAGGCGGTTTTGGCCCCAAAAAGCTAATTTTTTAATCATGAGTGATTCAAACCTATTGTTTGCCTCTTCACTCATCCGGCATTCCAAGACAGATGACGAACAGTTAGTTTTCTTCTTCAAGGTTTATGATGTGTCTGCTCTTCCGTACGCCTAATTCTCTTCGCAGCTTCCAAAGAAGAGGAGGGAATGTTAATCATCTGTCGATCATCTGTCTATTCTGCGTTTCCAATTTTCCGGTTCATCCTGGCCAATTTTCGCCTTTGAGCCCCAGATACCTACTTATTTTTAGTCGTGAGCAATGTCTTTGCTCACTTCTTCCACTATATTTTCAGACACACACTCATAGGCCTTCCCGAGGCGCTTATGTCAATATTGCTATACTTACGAACTAGGGTATTTCTTTTTCGATTGATTTGGGGTCGACGCGGCTTGCTCCTCGTAACATATAACAAAAAACTTATAGGAGCATATGACTGCTCTTTCGGCGAGAATCATATTCGTCGCTTCCGACCAATTGGATCCAAAGTTTGGGTCCCAAATATCTATCTATGTCTATGTTTGACCATGACAATCTTCACTTCGTCTACCACCTTGTCTGGATCTTCAATCATATGACCTAACCCTCATAGCATATGCCTCTTCCTTCGAGGAAGTGGAGGGTAGGTTAAGGTATACTGTCTAATTTCAACCTTAGAGCCCTGATAGTTTATTTTAGTCTTCACATTGGCAATATCCTTGCTCACTTCTTCTACCATCTTGTCTACTTCTTCACGCACCTGGCATTGAGGTGTCGCCAGTAAACTTGAGGTGTCGCCAAGAAACTTATAGGAGCATATGACTGCTCTTTCGGCGAGAATCATATTTTTCGCTTCGGACCAATTGGGTCCAAAGTTTGGGTATCAAATATCTATCTATGACTATGTTTGACCATGACAATCTTCACTTCGTCTACCACCTTGTCTGGCTCTTCAATCATTAGGCTAGTAAGACATATGACCTAACCCTCATTTCAACCTTAGAGCCCTGATAGTTTATTTTAGTCTTCACATTGGCAATATCCTTGCTCACTTCTTCTACCATCTTGTCTACTTCTTCACTCACCTGGCATTGAGGTGTCGCCAGTATTTCTCTCGCTTTCCGATTTGATGTTTAGGTCGAGATTGTTCTTCACCAATAACAAAGTGGATATAAAATCCTAAAGGTGAGTGGTAAGCCTTTTTTGAATCAGAGTATTATGTCCAACCACGAATAGGGGGAAATCAGTTAGCAGGGAACTGATAGGAGACTGACAACACCCTGAGGATATATATTGAGCACTTTGTTGTGTTTTTATAATGCCAATATAAAAATAAGGATCATCTATTAAACATCATTACTAGGATATTGAAGAAAATCGTCAAGTTATGAATGGCGCCCAACGAAAATTTCAGCTTATGTTTTTTTTTAATATATATTTATATTTCTAAAAACAACCCAATTTTCCGCCCTTCTTTTCCAGACCGCCTTAACCATCATGGCTGAAACCCATCCAGCGGGACTTTCAACAAATCAAATGTTACACACCATGCAAGAACAACAATCGGGGTGTTTCTGTCACTATGATTATGGTAAAACTAAAAATCTAAAGGAATATGGTCAAGAGACACCTCCAGATTATCCGGTCGAACAAATTACTGCCAATATTCATTTATGGTATTGTGATACTGATCCTGCTGTTGCCGTCGAAGATGTAGAATTACTGGCTGCTATGCTGCCGAACAAAGTTATGCATCATATTACCGATCCAACATGGTCGCACAGTGACTACATAACACACATCGATGTTAAGCATTTAATTAATGAACCGATTATTGAGATAATAAATAAATTTGAAGAGAAATTGTAGATATGTGGAAATTTTGAGAGTAAAAAAATAAATTTATATCGAAATCTGAACCGATTTTAAAATCGGGAGAAAATATATAATATTTATATATAATATAATAAAATATATAAATATCTGAACCTATTTTCACGAAACTTAACACAAATCATTCTGGACCTTATTCAGTATTCTATGCCAAATTTCGTGCAAATCGAAAGATATATGGGGACTATGGTGCCCCATTTACCTTAAATCGGACGAAAATATATATCGGTGCTATACATATAAGACCGTCCAGATTTTCTCGAAATTTGGCACACGTCATTCTAGACTCAATTGAGTACACCATGCAAAATTTCGCGCATGTCGAAAGATATATAGGAACATTGGTGCAGCATTTACATAAAATCGGCCAAAACTATATACGGGAGCTATATCTAAATCTGAACCGATTTTTTCGAAACTTAGCACATATCATTCTGGAGCCAATTCAGTACCCTATGCCAAATTTCTTGCAAATCGAAAGATGTGTAGGGGCTTTGGTGCACCATTTACCTTAAATCGACTATAAAGCCGCATTCGACAGCCCTATCCGTTCAGAGGTGTTTAAAGCCATGTCTGCGTTCGGCATTCCTGCAAAATAATACGGCTATGCAGGATAACTTTAAGTGGCACAAGATCAGCAGTTAAAGTCGGAAAGGACCTATCGGAGTCCATCAATACCGAACGAGGATTCAGACAAGGTGACAGTTTGTCGTGTGATCTTTTTAACATCCTACTGGAAAAGGTCATACGAGACGCAAAGGTGAACAGAAATGGTACTCTGTACACCAAACAACACATGTTACTCGCCTACGCCGATGACATCAATATAATGGGTCGAACATTTCGAGCGGTAACAGCCACCTTTGAACAAATGGAAAAGGAGTCTGCCAAAGTGGGTCTGGCAGTAAACGGCGAGAAGACCAAGCTGATGGTATCAACGCTCAAGACGTCCAGTAGACTCGGACCAACTGTGGAACTTAAGAACTACAGCTTCGAGGTAGTTAAAGACTTTATATACCTTGGTACCGCCATAAATAAAACGAATGACATCAGTTTTGAAATTCGGAGAAGGATTGTGATGGCCAACAGATGCTACTATGGTCTAAGTAAGCAGTTTAGAAACAAGGCCAACTACCGCCAGACCAAACTCACACTTTACAAGACGCTGATACTACCCGTGCTATTATATGGATCAGAGGCATGGGTACTTGCGCAAGCAGATGAGGCAGCTCTTGGGGTGTTTGAGAGAAAAATTCTCCGAAAAATCTACGGGCCGATCTGCGTCGACGGTGAATATCGGCGTCGAATGAACCACGAGGTTTACAATTTATACGCGGACATCGACGTAGACAGTCGTATTGAGCTGCAGCGACTACGGTGGCTAGGCCATGTTGTGGGGATGAATGAAAATGCCCCAGCTCAAAAGGCATATAAAAATGAGCCTACTGATGGTTCCCGTAGAAGGGGAAGGCCATGAATTAGATGGAAAACCAAGTAGAAAGCAACATCTTGGAACGTGGTCTTCCAAATTGGTGGACTTGCGCACAAGACCGACGCGCTTGGAAATCTTTTTTTAAGCTCGGCTTATGGAACAACCGTTCTGTAACAAACCAGCTAAGTAAGTATGTATGATTGTGGCGCCGTCCTGTTGGAATCGCATGCCTTCCAAGTTCATATTATACATATCGGGTCAAAAATATTCAGAGCAGAGCAGACAAAGCAGATACCCAAGGATCTTACGTCCCCCTAGCTACGTTGCCTGACCTATATCGCCTGACTTGACCTGACCTATCTCCTCGCTACTAGTTCATTGGTTCATGCATTTGTAGACTCCATGTTATGCCATTAGGTAAGGTAATTCTTCATTTTACACGGCATTTAGTAGATATTTAAATTCTGGAATATCTCGTTTCTTATGCGGTTCGTTCTTTTTCGTTTTGCACCGCATAAGGAACTAGATCATTCCTTTAGTTTAATCGTCCGGAAAGAAATACATGAACTAGGAACAAGATGAACGAAAATATAAAGGAAACAGCCGAACCTAGTACCGATCTTCCTTTTACGGAACAATTACATTGAACTGGATCCGGACCGGATCGATCCAACTCTACTCACTGCAACTTCATTTGTTCATACATTACGATTGCATAGAGACCCTTTCTACGCATGGTTTTCGAAGACTGTAAAGATAAAAAACATCAATGTGCCAGATCCACAAGATAATACCTATGATGCAGATAATACCCTTAGGTAATTCTTGCAGGTTACTTCTAGGATTTTTTCTCCTACAAAGGAATATAATACCGGGGCATTGACCATGACATGTTGTAAGATAAAGGAAACAAAGCATCCCTTGAATTTACATAAACAATATTTGAAATCGATTCCGGAATATTAGAAGTTAGATCCCCAATTCTCTCCCCTCATAAAGAGAACCGGCACCCTTTTTATCGACAATATTGTCACTACGACGACGGAATACTAAACCACCATTATTTTAGACGGTAGGCAGACATTCGGTTTCTGGCATTTTCTGAATTTGACAACCCTGTCCAGGGGGGACAACAATATTTCATGATTTACCCCCATCGAATTCGATCTGACACCTAGTAAACAACAAGATTTATGGGTCCATTGAATTCACACTTAGCCGAACAGGGGGTTATCTAAACTTGAAAACCAAATGTTTCGCCAAATACTAATCTACACGATTATTTAAAGTGTTCAATTGCCACGATTAGCTGATTATCGATATTAGCTGATAATTCCGAAGTTAGAAATATTCCGAACATAACAAACCAAAAAGTGGTGTACAAAAATAGACCATTTAGTTGCTATTGGAATTTTGCAATATGAGGACCTATTTGTGGTTGGTATTGCTGGTATCAGTGACAGCTGTTAGCTGTCAACCGACAGTGGATATTTTAAGATACTTTCAAAATCCCGAACCCCAGTTGACATTGAAACCGAAACTAACAACGGTAAGTCAGAATGGAGAATTTTAAGCGAGGTTAATTTTCTAAAATTTATTTTTCTGAAAAAAATGTAGGCTGATCGCATTGCCCAACATGGTTATCCGGCTGAAACCCACGAAGTCACTACCGAAGATGGTTATATTATAACCTTCTTCCGTATACCCTATTCCCATAAATTGCAAAATCAAAACGAGTATCGCCCCATTGTACTGATACAACACGGCCTGTTTAGCAGTTCCGACGGTTGGATGTTAAATGGTCCCAATGATGGTATTGGTTTTAATTTAGTCGATGCCGGTTATGATGTTTGGTTCGGTAATGCCCGTGGCAATACCTATAATCGAAGACATGTTTCACGTTCCACAAATCATCCCTACTTTTGGCGTTTTAGTTGGCATGAAATTGGCCATTATGATATTGCGGCCATGATTGATTATGCCTTGGCCACAAATGGTCAGGGCCAGAAGGCCATACATTATATCGGACATTCACAGGGTACCACGGTGTTCTTTACATTGATGTCTACACGTCCTGAATATAATGAGAAAATTAAGACGGCTCATATGTTGGCCCCCGTTGCCTTTATGAGTAATATGTCCGATAAGTTGGTCAGGACACTGGCTCCCTACCTAGGGCATCATAATGGTTATTCGGGATTTTTCAGTGATCAAGAATTTGTACCATATAATGAATTATTCACCAAGTTGGGCTACAATGCCTGTGCTCCCCAATCGAAGACCCATAAGTTGTGTAGTAGCATAGCCTATATGGTTGAGGGTCCTGAATCGAATACCAATTTGGTAAGTTGCGAACGTAATTGATAGCAGATGTTAAATATTAATTTTTGTAATACCTATTCAGACCAGCTTAACAATTCTGGCGGAGACCCATCCGGCCGGCTGTTCTACCAATCAAATTTTACATTATATGCAAGAACAGCAATCCGGTTGCTTCTGTATGTATGATTATGGCCCCTCCAAGAATCTCAAATTGTATGGCCAAGCCACACCGCTGGATTATCCCCTGGACAAAATCACATCGGAACTTCATCTGTGGTATAGTGATAATGATGACTCGGTTGCCGTGGAAGATGTTGAACGTTTGGCGGACATATTGCCCAATAGGATACTACATCACATGGAGGATCCCACATGGTCTCATGGTGATTTTACCGGTCACATAGAGGTTAAGAAATATATCAATGAACCGATTATCGATATTATGAATAAATACGAGGAAAAAATGTGATGAAAGAAGGCGGAGAGTAATTTTTTATAAATATATATTTTTCAAAGACTAAGGCATGAAATTTGTAAAAGAATATTTTCGAGACCTAGAATAGAAGGCTGGAACAAGGCGTGGATTTTTTAAAAATAGTTTTTCAAGACTGGAAAAAGGCGTAGATTTTTTAAAGAATATTTTTCAAGACTGGAACAAGGCGTGGATTTTTAAGGCTGGTACAAGGCGTGGATTTAAAAAAAATAGTTTTTAAGGCTGGTACAAGGCGTGGATTTAAAAAAAATAGTTTTTCAGGGCTGGAACAAGGCGTAGATTTTTTAAAAAAAGTTTTTCAAGGCTGGAACAAGGCGTGGATTTTTTTAAAAATTCTTTTTCAAGGCTGGAACAAGGCGTGGATTTTTTAAAAGTTGTTTTTTAAGGCTGAAAAAAGGCGTGGATTTTTTTACAATAGTTTTTCAAGGCTGGAACAAGGCGTGGATTCTTTAAAAATTATTTTTCAAGGCTGGTACAAGGCGTGGATTTTTTAAAAGTTGTTTTTCAAGGCTGGAACAAGGCGTGGATTTTTTAAAAATTGTTTTTCAAGGCTGGAACAAGGCGTGGATTTTTTAAAAATAGTTTTTCAAGGCTGGAACAAGGCGTGGATTTTTTAAAAATAGTTTTTCAAGGCTGGAACAAGGCGTGGATTTTTTAAAAATAGTTTTTCAAGGCTGGAACAAGGCGTGGATTTTTTAAAAATAGTTTTTCAAGGCTGGAACAAGGCGTGGATTTTTTAAAAATAGTTTTTCAAGGCTGGAACAAGGCGTGGATTTTTTAAAAATAGTTTTTCAAGGCTGGAACAAGGCGTGGATTTTTTAAAAATAGTTTTTCAAGGCTGGAACAAGGCGTGGATTTTTTAAAAATAGTTTTTCAAGGCTGGAACAAGGCGTGGATTTTTTAAAAATAGTTTTTCAAGGCTGGAACAAGGCGTTGATTTTTTTAAAAATAGTTTTTCAAGGCTGGAACAAGGCGTGGATTTTTTAAAAATAGTTTTTCAAGGCTGGAACAAGGCGTGGATTTTTGAAAAATTGTTTTTCAAGGCTGGAACAAGGCGTGGATTTTTTAAAAATTGTTTTTCAAGGCTGGAACAAGGCGTGGATTTTTTTTAAAATTGTCTTTCAAGGCTGGAACAAGGCGTGGATTTTTTAAAAATTGTTTTTCAAGGCTGGAACAAGGCGTTGATTTTTTAAAAATAGTTTTTCAAGGCTGGAACAAGGCGTGGATTTTTTAAAAATTGTTTTTCAGGGCTGGAACAAGGCGTGGATTTTTTAAAAATTGTTTTTCAGGGCTGGAACAAGGCTTGGATTTTTTAAAAATTGTTTTTCAAGGCTGGAACAAGGCGTGGATTTTTTAAAAATAATTTTTCATAGCTGGAACAAGGCGTGGATTTTTTAAAAATTGTTTTTCAGGGCTGGAACAAGGCGTGGATTTTTTTTAAATTGGTTTTCAAGGCTGGAACAAGGCGGGGATTTTTTAAAAATTGTTTTTCAGGGCTGGAACAAGGCGTAGATTTTTTTAAAATTGTTTTTCAAGGCTGGAACAAGGCGTGGATTTTTTAAAAATTGTTTTTCAAGGCTGGAACAAGGCGTTGATTTTTTAAAAATAGTTTTTCAAGGCTGGAACAAGGCGTGGATTTTTTAAAAATTGTTTTTCAGGGCTGGAACAAGGCGTGGATTTTTTAAAAATTGTTTTTCAGGGCTGGAACAAGGCTTGGATTTTTTAAAAATTGTTTTTCAAGGCTGGAACAAGGCGTGGATTTTTTAAAAATAATTTTTCATAGCTGGAACAAGACGTGGATTTTTAAAAAATAAATATAGTCAGGTTTTAAAAATATTTTCAAATACAAACATTCGTTATCTCCGAACAGCTGTTAATACCTAGCTGACCAAACCCACGCCTTGTTCCGATTGCAAATTTCGATAGCCAACTAAATACTTGTCTTAACAACAACAATTTGTTTGTTGTGCTTGAATTCAGTATTTTTAGCATTATCAGCTAATTTCACAAAATCGTATCCGTTGACCAATTCAAATACTCGTTGAGATTAGATTAGCCCCAAATATTTGATTTTTAAGTTGGATGATAGCCCCCCTGTTCGGTCAACATAATAATCCATCAATTAGCTTGCTTTACAAGATGTGAGCGTGTGGCTGAAATTGTTGTTGCCTTCGATGGGGTTAAGAAATCGCCGATTGGGAAGGGGTAAATATTAAAATTCCAACATATATACATATACAAATTGTGGCAAATCGGATTTCCAATCGTGTTTTAATTAGTATTTTTGGAGGACTATCAGTGCTGGGATTTTTCAAATAATATTTTTGGGGGACTAGTAGAGATATACGTGCCGATTTTTAAAGAATATTTTTTCAAGAACTATCTGACTTAGAGGCGTGGATTTTTAAAGAATATTTTTGCAGATCCTTTGTCGAACTTTCTCCTTTGGAATTTATTTACATATTCTTTTCATATTTATTCATAATTTCCAAAATGGGATCATTAATCTCCGCCTTAACTCTCTTATGCAGGGCGAAATCACCATGAGCCCATGTCGGATCCTCCATATGATGCATAATACGATTGGGCAGCTTGGCTGCCAAACGTTCAACATCTTCAACGGCAGCCATAGAATCATTGTCACTATACCACAAATGGACCTCAGAGGTGATTTTCTCCAATGGATAATCTGGAGGTGTATCCTGGCCATACAGCTCCATATTCTTCTTTGGACCATGGTCATACAAACAGAAACAACCGGATTGTTGTTCCTGCATATAATGGCAAATTTGGTTGGTGGAGGCCCCAGCCGGATGGCTTTCTATCATAATTGGCAAAGCAGTCTGGAAAAAATAACAAAAATATTTTATTTAATAACTTTGGAGAATCTTGTTTAAAAAAAAATCCGCACCCACCATATTAACATTGTTCTCGGGGCCCTCAACCATATAGGCTATACTAGTACACAAGCCATGCAACTTCGAGTGTGGAGCACAGGCATTGTAGAGCAATTTCGAAAACAAATCATTATGTGGTACAAACTCCTGATTATCAAAGAATGCGGAATAGGTATTGTGATGACCGAAATAGGGAGCCAATGTCCTGACCAACTTATCGGACATGTTACTCATAAAGGCCACAGGGGCCAACATATGAGCCGTCTTAATTTTGGCATTATATTCCGGTTGCGATGACATCAAAGCAAAGAACACCGTGGTACCCTGTGAATGACCCACATAATGTATGGCCTTTTGACCCTGACCATTAGTGGCCAAGGCATAATCAATCATGGCAGTAATATCATAATTGGCAATTTCATGCCAACTAAAACGCCAAAAATAGGGATGATTTGTGGATCGGGAAATATGCTTACGACTGTAGGTATTGCCACGAGCATTGCCGAACCAAACATCATAGCCGGCATCGGCTAAATTGAAACCAATACCATCATTGGGTCCCACACTCATCCAGGCATCCGAACAGCTAAACAGCCCGTGTTGTATCAGAACAATGGGTCGATATTCGTTTTGATTTTGCAGCTTATGGGAATAGGGTATACGGAAGAGGGTAACGACATAACCATCCTCGGTGGTCACTTCATGCGTTTCCACGGGATAGCCATGGGAGGCAATGCGATCGGCCTGGATAAGTTAAATAAAAAATTAGAAATTATTTTCAATTTTAAAAATCCTTTACCATCCATACCGTAGTAATCTTGGGCCTTAGCGTAATTTGTGGTTCAGGATTTTGTAAATATCTAATTAATTCCAGAGGGGGCTGAGCCCAAGTAGTACCGGCTATTGCTAGCAGCAATGCAATCCACAGGTAGGTCCTCATTCTGCTCGAGTTTTTCACAGACTGATCTTTGTAAATTTTGAATAAATAAATTTCAATAAATAACGATTTTCAAAATCATTTTTCTGTTGTTTTTGTATCTAAATTTAAAAATATAATTTTTATCAATTATTGGCAACTACTTTGAATAATCTAGGTAGCTCTACTGTCCTCTTGATCCATGCGATATGATAAGATTAAAATTTTAACGATTGATTGAGATTGCAGTCCAATGCAGGGGAGTTATTGTTCGGAAAATAAATTTGTATGGGTCCTGGATTTTTTTATAGATTTTTTTTTCAGAGAACATCCAAGTCCTGCATTTTTTATAGAATTTTTTTTTCAAAGAACATCCAAGTCCTGTATTTTTTAAGGCCTTCACCACACTGTGGTACAGGGTATTATGTCTTTGTGCATATGTTTGTAACAGGCAAAAGGAAACGAGATATACACATGGTTCATTTGTGCACCAAAGTCCCTATATATGCATATAATCACTTTTTATGTCGATTTATGCATGTCCGTCCGTTTGTTAAATTGTAAACAAAGTACAGGTCGCATTTATAATCCGAATTGGATGAAATTTGGCACAGGTCACTTATTCGGCCCAAGGACGAACCCTATTGAAATTGGGAAAAATCGGTTCAGATTTAAATATAGCTCCCATATATATTTTCGTCCGATTTTAGGTAAATAGTGCAGCAGAGTCCCTATATATCCTTCGATTTACACGAAATTTGGCATAGCGTACTGAATTAAATCTAGAACGATGTGTGTAAAATTTCGTGAAAAATCGATTCAGATTTAGATATAGCTCTCATATATATTTTCGTCCGATTTTAGGTAAATAGTGCACCAAAGTCCCTATATATCCTTCGATTTGCACGAAATTAGGCATAGCGTACTGAATTAAGTCTAGAACGATGTGTGCTAAATTTCGTGAAAATCGGTTCAGGTTTAGATATAGCTCCCATATATATCTTCGTCCGATTTTATATAAATGGTGGACCAAAGTCCCTATATATCCTTGGATTTGCACGAAATTTGGCACAGCGTAATGAATTAGGTATAGAATGATGTGTGTTATGTTTCCTGAAAATCGATTCAGCTTTAGATATAGCACCCATAAATATTTTCGTCCGATTTAATGTAAACGGTCACCAAAGCCCCTATATATCTTTCGATTTGGACGAAATTTGGCACAGCGTACAAAATTAGGTCTAGAAAGATGTGTGTTATGTTTCCTGATAATCGGTCCAGAATTAGATATAGCTCCCATATATATTTTCGTCCGATTTAATGTATATGGTGTACCAAAGTCCCTATATATCTTTCGATTTGCACGAAATTTGGCATAGGGTACTGAATTTGTTCTAGAATGATGTGTGTTAAGTTTCCTGAAAATCGGTTCAGATTTAGATATAGCTCTCATATATATTTTCGTCCGATTTTAGGTAAATAGTGCACCAAAGTCCCTATATGTCCTTCGATTTGCACGAAATTTGGCATAGAGCGCAGAATTAAGTCTAGAAAAATGTGTGTAAAATTTCGTGAAAATCGGTTCAGATTTAGATATAGCTCCCATATATATTTTCGTCCGATTTTAGGTAAAAAGCGCACCAAAGTCCCTATATATCCTTCGATTTGCACGAAATTTGGCATAGCGTACTGAATTATGTCTAGAACGATGTGTGCTAAATTTCGTAAAAATCGGTTCAGGTTTAGATATAGCTCCCATATATATCTTCGTCCGATTTTATATAAATGGTGGACCAAAGTCCCTATATATCCTTGGATTTGCACGAAATTTGTCATAGCGTACTAAATTGTGTCGAGAATGATGTGTGGTAAGTTTTAGATCGGTTCAGATTTCTATGTAGATCCCACATATTCATATATATTCCTTCGATTTTACATAAATGGCGCTCCAAATTGGGACTTGAATGACGTTATTGCGTTTTGTTGAAATTGGTGCAGATGCAGCCATAGCTTCCATATGTATTTCGTCTGATGTCTGATTGAAATAAAATTTGTATCAGTACCGAATAACGTGTATAGATTTTGCTATAACACGTTTTCCATAAATTTGTCCCATGGTACGCAGACGACTCTACATCTGCCCGAATGAAATTAAATTTATCATAGGGTGCAAAAAAACATGCGTATGTTCCTTCGAGGGAACATTGACATGCAAATGTAAGGATACATATGCGCAATATAAACAAAGTGGTGAAGGGTATCATATAGTCTGCCCAGTCCGACTTTACTACGTTCCTTACTGGTTAATACTTTTATAGGGTCTTCCAAAAGCGTGGATTTTTAAAAATATGTATGTCTAACCTTTAAACTCTACAACCACATATAAATTAAAATCAGTCTCTCCATCCAGAAAAATTCAAACAAATATTTTTTTTTACTTTAATCTTATCATAATCTCTGGATCGACTGCACAATAAATAGTTCAACCAATAATATTGACAGTATAATCAAATTTACCCTAAATTTCAAAAATCAAATAAAAAACAATAACATTTGTTATGCGGCACACCTGCATCCTGTGCAATGATGTCATGTCTGAAAACTGCTGTGCAGTGCATCGCAGGGTATCATAATTTTCTTTGTTTTAATGTCATAGCAATCGGAATATAATGTCATAATTATGATGGCTCAGCCTCCATAAAGAAACATCAGACAACGGCAAAAAACATGGTAGTTAGCAGCACCAGATTCAAGTATCTCGATATACACAAGGCCACTTGGATTTCTGCCGATCGAACAACGAGAAATCAAATTGATCATGTTGTGATAGACGGAAGGCATTCATCCAGTGTTCTAGACGTCCGATCGATCCGGGGAACGAATATCGATTCGAACCATTACCTTGTGGCAGCCAAGGTACGAACCCGTCTTAATGTAGCAGCAAAGGTGCGATCTAATGTAACACGGAAATTTGACGTCGAAAAGCTGCAAACACAACAGATAGCAGAAGCCTACTTCGCTCAACTTACCCAACTGATTGATGAAAGCACCCCTTGTCCCGATAACAATATAGAAGCACAATAGCAGAGAATTGTCCACTCTCTACAACACTTGGGTACCAAAGACCACCATCAAGAAAACCGTGGTACGATCAGGAGTGTCATAATGCTACTGATATGAAAAACGCAGCGTATAGGACAACCTTGCGGACAGTAGCAACACGTAATGTAATGGAGAACTATCAGGAGAAAAGGAGAGAGGGGAAACGTATTTTCAGAAAAAAGAAGAAAGAGCAAGAAAAACATGAGCATGAGCAACTCGAGACGTACATGAGCCAGAATGAAGTCCGAAAACTCTAACAACTGGTAAAACACCAAACCGAAGTCTTTGGTGCAGGCGCATCCTCCTGTAGAGATGAAGAAGGAAACTTGGTGACAGATACAGACAGTGTGTTGAGGATCTGGAAGGAGCATTTTGAAAAACTTCTGGTATCAAATAGTAGCGGTGAAGAGGATAACCCAGAACGAATAATAGATGACGGTATGGAGTGTATACCACCGAGCCAAGATGAAGTCAGAATAGCAATCAATCGGCTGAAGAACAAAAAAGCAGCAGAAGCCGATGGGTTACAAGCCGAACTATTCAAGACTGGTGGTCAGATGCTGGTAAGGACCATGCACCAGCTGATTAGTACAATTTGGCTAGAATAATGCATGCCCAATGATTGCAACCTCAGCATCCTGTGTCCCGTGCACAAAAACAGGAGACAAGACGATATGTGCCAACTATAGAGGAATAAGTCTCCTTCCCATGGCATATAATGTGGTATCCAGCGTACTGTGTGAACGACTGAAGCCAATGGTCAATGACATTATTGGACCATACCAATGTGACTTCAGACCTGCCACATCCACCATTTGCGGATTTTGCAGATTTTCACTCTGCGCCAAATCCTGGAAAAAAACCCACGAAAAACACATCGACACATTCCACCTATTCGTCGACTATAAAGCCGCTTTCGACAGCCCTATCCGTTCAGGGGTGTATAAAGCCATGTCTGCGTTTCGCATTCCTGCAAAATGAATTCGGCTATGCAGGATAACTTTAACAGGCACAAGATCAGCAGTCAAAGTCGGAAAGGACCTCTCGGAGCCCTTTCATACCGAACGAGGATTCAGACAAGGTTACAGTCTGTCGTGTGACCATTTTAATATCCTGCTGGAAAAGGTCATACGAGAGGCAAAAGTGGACAGAAATGGGTGGAATATTGAGAGCGGTAGCAGCCACCTTTGAACAAATTGAGAAGGAGTCTGGTTCTGGCAGTAAACGGCGAGAAGACCAAGCTGACGCGCAACACGTCCAGTAGACTCGGACCACCTGTGAAACTTGAGAACTACAGCTTCGAGGTAGTCAAAGATTTTATATACCTTGGCACCGCCATAAATAAAACGAATGACATCAGATTGGAAA